AACCCACCACAATCGAACAAATAACTGTTTTGTTTTTTTTAATTGTTTAACGAAAAACAAGACAGTCAAGAGCAAATAAAGTAAAATGGAACAAGAACGTGGCAAACCAAAGACAGTAAGCAATTCAACCAAATATGAAAACGGTAAATAAAAACGAGGGGAGGGTCAAAAAACGGAAATAAACAGAAATGAAAAAGTGAACAAATAAATGTGCACAAAAATCAGAAAGTAAGAAAGGAATAACTGCAAAATTCAAAAGTTTTCGAAACTAAAGAGTGAAAAAAGGAAAACTTAACGGTCCAATCAAACGCAAGCTGGTCCAGACAATCGTAATCCACAAATTTGAATTGCTTCTCAAGATTTCAACATCACTGTAATTGAATATTGAATGACGCTGCCTGAGGCAATTGAAAAATATTAACATCAGATCTTTGTCAGTTTGATGAAGAGATTTCTTTATTTTAGATATCTGCAGCATCGCCTTTAATTACAGAAATATAGCTCGCTGTAACAAGCCATCTATAGTTCTCTTTTGCAATCAGAAAAAGGAAGATACGAATTTCCACGTAATTTATTTTTCTCTTTATCTACAATTCGGTCTCATTTTTTCAATTCGGTCTTATTTTTTATCATACCGTGATTAGAATTCCATGTTCATCATCATCATCATCATCATCATCATCATCATCATCATCATCATCATCATCCCTATGATCAGCTGTGGTTGTAGGGTTGCTCCACATAAGCCGAAGAAATATTCGTTCATGCGTAGCGTGTTTTAGGCAAGTATATCTAGCGGGTCTTATTCCTCTCCAAGTCAAACCACAGCCAATATCTTCCAACTAGAAACCTTTCCTTGGTCACGGACACGTAGCCGTTTGATATAATTGAATGAACCTTCCGCTCTGGTTGGACTTCAGTTTAAAAAGCCCTACGCTTAGCGATATCATGTCATCATTGCACTGACTACATACATAGCTATGGACTCCAGTCTATATCGTTGCGCTTTAATAATGAATAGTAATTTTGTTTTTAATCCTAATTGGTATCTAGTCAGCTTCCTAATCAGAAACCTCTGGTGGAAGAGCTACATATTGATCAAATCAAATATAATGAACTATAGAATCAAATATGAAGAACGAGGCATCTATGTTTCCCAGTGAAATATGATTTATGAAACCTTAAAATTAAAGTCTGAAACTATCTTCGAATCATTACCGTGAAATTAATATTTAAACTATTTCATAATGACCAGGGCGGTCGAAAGTACTTGAACAAAAAAGAAGAAAACATGAACTTTGGACAATTTATCCACAATTTCAATCCCGATGTGTACAACATCTTTTTCCAAAATTGGAATAATACAATAAAAAAAAATTAAACAGACACTGCCGGTTAAATTTAACAAATCTTGTTTTGAATGATGGCTTGCTACCTACCCTATCTACCCTATCTATATATATATATATATATATATATATATATATATATATATATATATATATATAAATTCATGAATTATTCACACAAAAACAAAAGCAAAGGTTAATGATTTAATTGGCGAGAAAACCATCATCGCAAACAATTCAAATAATATACAAAAACCTCCGAATCCGTTATGAATGAATTGATCCTTGTTTCCATAAATTTCTGCCGTATTAGTTCTTATTTTTACTACAAGCTTTCGTCTGTTCCTACAGACATCTTCAGGTATAGAATAGATGTTGTTCTTGTTTTTTCTCTTAGTAATAAGAGGACAACGAAAATATATGTATTGTTGTATCCGAAAATGCTATTGAAAATTTGACAGAAAATTTACCAGTAAAAAATTCGTTCATCACCATATTTATATGAACGCACAACCTTTAAAAATTTAAAATCAAACTCAGTGTTGCTACTGGCGCGCTCCAAAAACAATAACTCATTTTCAATATATATATATATAGTAATCCTTTCATCCCAAGCAAGGCGATAATACCACTAGGACGCAAGAGGTTACAGGGAGTAATAGAGAATGAGAATATTTTTGTGAGGCAAAGGACAATAAAGGAACAGAGTTCAAGACAGAAGATGGCGATGGCGTTGCCTTTAATTTTTTTATGATTGTAAATGGCAGAGAAGCAAGAAATAAGAAGGGAGTTCAACAGGCGGGGAATGCGATCAAAGAAAGTGTTAGAATAGAAGAGATAGTTACATCTAGCTAGTTCAACTTTAAAATTGTGAGACTTAGTTGCTAATCTAGTAGCACGCTTAAATCTATGCAGTCGGGGAACTATACTTGCAGAAAAGACAGCGGGAAGCCACGTCACGTCAGTAAGAAATTAACTGTAGTCGAGATATCAAATCATATATACTAGGGTGGGCTGAAAAGTTCGTAGGCTGTCTATAAAGGAATGATTTCAATGGCTGCTGTACATGAATATGACTTTGAATTGTTTGATTCCCCCTCCCTATTCTATTAATTTGGCTCTCTCTAACTACCATCTGTTTCCCAAGATGAAAAAACCACTTGGTTGAGAACTAGTATCGCAGTGATGATCACGTCATATATGCTGTTGAATTTTTTGACCAACAGGATGAAAGCATCTTCACCAATGGTACCCAAGCACTGCAACGCTGATGAAAGAGTATTGACCATAATGGGAGTTATGCTGAATAAACATCGTTTGGTCATCTTCTATTAGAGTATCATGGTCAGTCTATGAACTTTTCAACTGACCATCGTATACAATGCTTGTCTTCCATGCACGGATTACGAATAGCTATGTGCAAAACACTCGAAACATTGCAAATCACTATCCAGAAAGAGTTTGGTTTTTGATAAAAAAAAAAAAAGAAAGTCAGCCATAAATGTATCCATCAGGCAAGACAACACATTTCTGAAATCAAACCAATCTCTTCCTAACGTTCATAGGCTTAAGGAAAAAATAAAGGAATTTATTTTATGCTTAATTTTCGGTAGCATTTCAATTTTTCCAATGTAATTATAGTGATTTTCCAAGCGTAGCCTAGATGTGGCACAAGGCCGAAAATAGGGAGCACCCAGTGAGGATCGAACTCACTGCTCAGTCGTAATTGCTCGAGCGAGACAAGCTTGCTAATCATTACACTGCCTCAAGGTGCCCCTTCCAAGGTAATTATATTTCAATGTTTGTGAAAGGCAAAGTCACATGAGATCATCTATTCAGAGAATAGTAAGAACTGCAACATAGATAGGTACACCGAAACATATCTACTCGCCTACTTTGCGGAATAGAGGCAAGTCAGCTAACTCAACCCACAGCAAAATAAGGACACACACCAAACTGATTTAACATAACATAACTGAGTTAATATATAAAGCATAATCCTAATTGATGAAATATATCGCTGCTTTTTGGTTTTTCCTATATTTTTAGTCATCTAGTCAAATCCAGGACAGATACAATTGAGTAAAAACAGGTTAACAATGTATTTTGTAACAAGAAACATTTGTTTGTTTGTTTTTTAAAGAAATATAATGCAACTTTTATTTATTGTTCAACAAGTAAACAAGTCAAATGAATCTAAATGGCCATGTGTTAAGGCAACTATGACGTAGAAGCGTAAAATGAAGAAAGGATTAAAGAAACGAACAGATGTTGACAGATGTTGACAGATGTCGTTAATTTGAAAGGTTGCTAAACAATGTGGACATTTAATATCACCTAATGCCAGTGTATTGCATTAGTTTAATTCCCTCTTCATCCCGATGACATTTTGAAGACAAAAAAGACGTTGTAGTTTGAAAATTTGTCTAAAAAAGTGCAAACAGAAATAATCAAAATATTTTTATAAAGCTTTTTCCAGATGCAAAATTTCATGAACCTCTTCATCTATACTAATATATATATATATATATATATATATATATATATATATATATATATATATATATGAATCAAAATATAAATATATAATAGATCTCAAGATAGATAGATAGATAGATAGATAGATAGATAGATAGATAGATAGATAGATAGAGCTGAGGTTAAAAACAAGTGGCAACATGGCCTGACGATTGCGCTCAATCATGAAACAGACTGTCACCGCTCAGTGTTTACCTCAGTGTCCACTTTTATATTTACATACATTGTCCCTGATATTCAGCACATTTGCCTCCAAAATAGCATACCTTAAAACTATATTTTTATCATATAGATAGATAGATAGATAGATAGATAGATAGATAGATGATGGGTCAAAAGTAACTGTTTTATTTCAAAACTGTTTACAATCTCAATAGTGAGAACAGATTTTTAAGACTTTTTTAATTTAATTTTTTTAATTTTGAAGGTTAGTCTCATGTATAAATGTGACATTTACTCTACTTTGCAAAAGTGAGTGTGTGCGTGCACAGACGTGTATCACTGTATGCGTGTGTCGTGTTTGCGTGCATGCTTGCTCATACCCGCCTATGCACAAACACAAGCACACAAAATAGAATTGAATGCATAGAAAAACATACGTAAATACAAACAAGTGTAGAAAACGAGTGCACACACACAAACATCAGTGTACGTGTGTGGAAGGAAACATTTGATTTCAGATAAATGACTCTATCAATAAAAAAATTACTTCCGATGTCATATTCGTTTAACTTCGTTATACCAATGTTTAATGTCTGTTCTAATATCCGAAATTCCTTGACACAGTTGCAATAATTCTATTTTTAGATTTATATTAGCTTATATTCTTTAATGATTCAGAGTGATAGCTTTAAAAAGAAAACAAGAAAAGGATAATGTTTTAGCATACATTTTACATAAGAAAGTATGAAAAACTTCTCCGCTTTTCGTTTGCGTAACATTTGTATTGTATTTAATAATCCATGAAGTAATCATTTTCAAACTTTAAGTTGCATCAGACAACGTAAACATCTGGTTGGGGGTGGGGAGCTTTGAGTAAATGCCAAATCAACTAACATTTCATTTTCATGAGTAGTAAAACTGATTGGTCAACCATTCTTTGGCGCACTTCAAATGAACCCAGTTAGAACAAGTCTATCTCGTAATTTGTAAATTGTACGTCTTGTTGTCGGAGATATATCAAAATTCTTCAGTCCTTTTCTGTCGTAATTTTTCATCATTCTTTGTCATTCGCTATAGTTTGATTATCCACTTTCGTAATTGGGTAAATTACCATCCATAATTATTTTTTGATAAAACGCAAAATAATAAAAGATATAAAATAAGAAATAAAGAACTCTGCAAATAAAGATGTATATTTTTCAGATTCATAACTGTATAGATACTTCCCCCCCATATATATATATATATATATATATATATATATATATATATATATATATATTATTATTATTATTATTATTATTATTATTATTATTATTATTATTATTATTAAGGGGTGGAGTAAATATTTGGATATTAAATATCGATTTAATGTAATTTCAGTATTTGTAGTTACCTTAAATTTTTTACAGGTGATATATTTTGGTATAAAATTAGCATTTACTCAGAAAAATACTAATTACCAGAAAAATAAAATGAAGAATTAAATATATGAAAAGTGAAATATATTTCGACATTATTACAAAATTTACATAAAATGTAATTTGATAAGTAATACACGTCACAACTTCTCTTCGGCTGGATAGAAAATTTGGAATAGTTCAGTAAAAGAGTACGATGCCGATAAAGTTGTCATTCATTAATTCATCTTCACAGGCACTTCGACGTGGTGCAATGGTTAGCAAGCTTGTCTCGTTAGATCAATTACGACTGAATAGTGAGTTAGATCCTCACTTGGTGTCCCATACATTCGGCCTTGTGCCACATCTAAGCTACGCTTAGAAAATCACCATTGCTTCATCATCTAACAAGGCTGTCATGGCTAAAGTGGAAACGCTCTTAGACAAAAGAATACTGTAATCAAGCAATATGATGGCGATTTGAAATTCAGGGTCATTGACATGATACTAAATATTGCTGTCAATACTATTGTATCGATTATTCTTAAGTTGAAGTGTTTTGGTATTACTAAGAACCCCTTTCAACTGGTTTGGTTGTTTTGTTTATACGGCATATCAACCTCAATGGGTTATTTAATGTCCACAGGATTTTTAGAATAGATTTGTATGGATAGAACATATATTCTTTGTAAGGAACAGTTTGTAGATCCAGTTTAATTGATATACTTTTGTAAAGAAGGTTATTGTCGATAGTCTGGTTTCATTGATGTATTATTTTCAGATATACGGTTTGTAGAGAAATTGATTTTGACATTCTTATTTGGTTTATAATTTTTGGTAGAGTCCTACAGTTTTGAGAATTATATAATCTACATTTACTTTCTCGAACACCTCATACATATTGTTTATTTTATAATATTTTTGTCTTCGTTTACTATGTTTAATAGTATATGTGTTTTACATGTTTGGCATACTGGTTGATCTTTGTTTAGTAAGTACAAGTTGGTTATTCTCATATGGCCAATGCGTACGCGTGCCATTACCAATTCTTCCTTACGACATTTTCTTGGAGCTGACTTTCATTCTCCTAGTTTGGGCTGAATTACGAAGAGTTTATTGTGTCGGTCATCGACCAAGTATCGTTGCTATTCCTTTTTAATGTATTTATTAATAACCTCCATAAAATCTTTGTATTTTAGTCCTTGCATTCACATTCACATTAAAAGCCGACTTGGCTGCTAGATCTACTTCATTATTACCTTTAACTCCGATGTGGCTAGGAATAGAGCATAAATTGATGTCTTTATTCTTGTTAATAGTGCTCATTTTGCGTAATATTTTCATAATAAGTGGGTTGTTGGACTTTTTTCCTTAAAAGCCAAAAGATACTGAGTCCGAAAAAATTAGAAATTTTTTTGGTTTGCTCTCTGAGATAATTTTGAGTTAGATCGATTGGATAAAACTCTGCAGTAAAAATAGAACTTCTCTTTAGGGGCGCCTTTTTTTCTTTTCTTTTTTTTTTTTTTTTGGTAATATTTTGGTTCACTGCTGCACATCCTGTCTTGTCCTCATATTTTGACCCGTCTGTATAGATGGGTGTATGGTTAGGGATGTTTATCAATATGTCCTGAAACTTATACTGAAATGTGAGTCGATGTGTTTTTTGACCTGGAGGGGCGATTATGTAATTCTAGCAGAACTTCCAATTGCTTGTTAGTCCATGTTGGAATACTGGCTGCAGTCATTTCTTGTATATTTGAGAGTCAGGTGTCTAACTCTTCACCAATGGATTTCATGCTGAGTCCGTAGGATTGTATAGCATTATCTTTTTGTCGAAACAGATCGCAGTAATTCGGTTCAAAGATACTGGGTTAGGCATGATTTTATTTTTACATAGTACTGTAGTACCAGTTTAGTGCACCGTAAATATGGAGGTGTTTCTTTAGCTTCTGTATATTAGCTCTCCACTGTGGATGTTCTGAAAGCCCCGAGTACTAGCCTTGATGATAAGTTGCATTGAGAATTTTAGGTACGACTTTCTAGCCGCCCCGTATATGAAACTAGCGTAATCCAGTTTTGAGCGAAGTAGTGATCTGTATGATTTGATTAATGTTAGTCGATCTGCTTCCCATTCATTATGGGCCGACATTACACGCAGAAGTTGTAGAGTTTTGCCACATTTTGTTTTCAAATATTTTAGATGAGGAATGACTTTTAATTTTTTTTATCAAAGATAATACCTGGAAACTTGTGTTGTTCCACGACTGGGATTTCTGCGCCGTCTAATTTTAAATATGGATCATTGTGCAATTTTCTTAATTTGAAGAAATGTAGACATTTGATTTTCGTTTTGGAAAATGTAAACCCATTTTCAGTGGCCCATTTGTGTATTTTATTGGGACATTGTTAGAGCTGTCTTTCAAATGGTATTCATATGTCGAGATTTGTACATAATTAGAAAATCGTCGACATATAGGGAGCATCTCACTCCTGAGCTTAAGGTTTTAACTATGGAGTTAATTTCTCCCAAAAAGCCTCACCAAAAAAATGTTTCCTTGTAGAACCCTTTATTCTTGATCTTGCAGTTCCAATAGCGTACTTTCAATAGGGACTTGTAACCTCCAGTCTTTCAGGAAATTTCCTATGAATTGAATCAACCTTCCTTTTAGACCGCAGATTTTTCAAGATACCAAATTCCCATTTATCTAACGTCATTTCTGAGTTAAAAAGGCCTGCCGGAAGCTTTTCTTTCTTAATGAAGGCTTCCCTTACAAAGTTTTCTAGGCGTATTAAATGATTCATGGTACTTCTTTTTCCTAAAAGCACATTGGTAGTCATTGAAAAATTTTCAGGTACCAAGTCATCCTGTTCATTGTTTGGATTTCATACGGTCTCTTCTGACATTATTTTTTTCATTTTTTTTTTCAAAACTGTTTGCAAACTATTATTTCGGGATCTCCATCAACTGCCTTGAAGCGTTCTTCTTACTCTTGCCCGCTACGTTTCCAAGTTGATCTCAGGTTTGGGAAAAGCCAGAAGTTGAAGGGAGCCAAATATAGACTGTAGATGGTAAGCTGACAGACCTGGGGGTGATGCAATATTTTGCCATAAATCTCTGGACGAGACATGAAGTTTCTCTTCGCTCGGTCATTATGAATGTAATAGTCACTCTGTACGCAACCTGACAACCAATGTTGTAACGTGACAGCAAGACGATCATTTAAACACGGATAGCGTTCATTTGTTATATAATTTCATGCATTTCAAATATGCGTTTATGAAATTCCCAATTCTCATATATTGATACCTAACATAGTAAAAACATTATTATCAACAGAATTCTTATATCAACCAAATAATGAACACCTGATGATAACCAGAAAGTACTTGGTCAAAACATTGTCTTTAATAGCATCTAAATCAAGCAAGAAGAGAACATTAGTTCGAAATAATACAAATATATTAGCAATAAGTCATCTCTGAAATGAAATACTTCTTGCAGAACATAATTCTCTCGAACTAATAAGTTCAAAAATAAAATGTTGCCTTAATCAAGTTTTGTTTTATTTATTTAACATTTGTTTTTCAGCCGTCCAAACAAAGAACGGTGTTTATATCCTACGAGAAAAAGTCGAGAAGGGGCGACACCATAGATATTCAGGAGCCGGGACTATTTTCTATTATTCTCGGGCAAAAGGACGATCGTGCCCAGGAGAATGTTTATTCGCAAATGGGCCCTTAAAGGAAGATATCATCATTAAGGTAAAATAGTTATTTTATATTTTATGACATAATTTACAATTGCTAAACTAAATACTTTCGAAAATTATTACTATCACCACAACCACCACCCTCACTCACTATATTTTCTTCTCTTTTGAAATTCACAATGGAATTGCTCATAAAGCTACAAAGTAGCCAATTTTCAATTCTGGTTCGCTGTCAAATTTCCTCCATTATTGAAACTTCAACTGACACTTAGGTTTTGCTTAGTTAAGATATCTTACATACAAATATATTTAGCATTCAACCAAAACGTCTGCTTCTTTAGTTCATAGAAATTAAAACCAAACACAAAGTGACTCACATTTCAATGATTATATTAACCGATCAAATTAGAACTTAAATGGCTCATCAACAACACAACATAATGTTATCAACATCAACCTTGTAGTGTCTATTTTATTACTACACTCAAAATATGTCAATTCAAGAGTTTTATGTAACAGTATTATAGATAGATTTTACTCAAGTGGGAGAGACGAACTATAAGTTGCGTCCTTGTTTCAGATGTCATTAAATTCATAACTGTAAATTTCAATTAGTCACTTCAGTAAACATCACGTGTGTTGAAAACTAAGCGTGAAATTATGGTTTAAAAAGTATATCTGTCTGCTGTGAAATTCCCTAAACAGTTGCAAAGGAATAACTGCTTATTTTAGCAATATTCAAGTGTAGTACTGTTCAGGTTCACATTGAGCAACGGATGATACCCAAGAGGCGATCTTTCAGAAACGTTTTTAAGAATTTTATGGTATAGTTTATGTTCACAATGCGCAAAGTATGATACCCATGAGCCTATTTTTGTGAACAGTTTTTAATAACTTCGTTAGATAATTAGTAACTTGAATAAGTGTGTATGCGTGGTATATATTACAAAAATAGTAAATTATAACAAAAATATAATTAAAAGGCTTTTTAATAATAACAGAGTTTGAGACAAATAAAAAATAGATTAATCAATTTAAAAGTCCTCGAAGCCATTGAAATCTGATTCATCAAATCCCGAGGGGAAACTTTTAATTAATTTTTTTTAAATTAAGTTTTTAAATAGTTTAATTCATTCGCTTCTCAGATTTTTGGGTCTAAATCCTTTCATATTTTACAGTTGGTTTCCTCCCTAAATTAAATAGATTTCTTATGGAATTTTCTTTCAAGCATAAACAAGAAAATCTTTTTAAAATTGTTATTAAATTTTACTTACTCTTTTACAGTACGGTATCGGTTTACCTGTGAAAGTTTATGACTATGCCTAGATAGTTGGCTATTATCCACGGATTTACCATTTGTTGGTGTTTTCGAAGGTATCTATTTAACATAGATAGATAGATAGATAGATAGATAGATAGATAGATAGATAGATAGATAATGAAGTGCTAACTATAATTTCAGGGAACTTGACTTTGGAAAATAACTTACATTAACACCTAATCTCCACCGCTTCCTTGTAGTTTCTTCCTTGTAGTTTTTTTGCTCACAAAATTACATTCGATTTAGAGTCTGTCTATATTTCTGAGATGAGGTATTATGTACAGTATTTACATTAGTCGGACTATTGTCCTCATCTTTGTCGCCATATTTGTCACAACGTTTCGGCCGTTGTACGCTCCGGCCTTCTTCAGGTGGTAGGAATTTCGAACTGAACCCTTTATTTCGATCACTGGGGTAGACTGTTCTAGTTCCACGTGCCATGTTTGATGGATGTCAGTTATCGGTTATCTCCTGCTAATTTTCCCTCTGAAAGTTTTCCACTGCCTTAACCAGGAATTGAACTCACCTTCTTTGGGTCTGTCACTGGATCTAACCAACGCCTTTATCCACTGTGCCATAATTCCTACCACCTGAAGAAGGCCGGAGCGTACAACGGCCGAAACGTTGTGACAAATATGGCGACAAAGATGAGGACAATAGTCCGACTAATGTAAATACTGTACATTCGATTTACTTTTCGAATTTTTGGACGCATATCTTGCTGTCTGCTTTTTGTTAGGCGAAGAAAATATTTTAACATCTTTGTCAGCAAAATAAATTTGGAATTTTTTTATTTATAACAGTATAAAACAATATAGATAATTCTGTAACTTCGGGTTTTGGTCATAACGTTAAATCTTGATTTTAAACTTCGAGCATGAAAGAATTTTAGCTTTAACTGTACATTTTAACTGTATATTAATATTTTAGTGGATATTACTTTATTATTGGAATCGTCACGACAAAATACAAATTTTGCTAACAAATCAAAATTTCGTTTATTTCAAAATAATATATAAAATGGTTGCTCTATCATGGAATACAATTAATGAATCTTCTTAATTTTCGCGAACCAAAAGATGCCATTTCATTGCTTCTCCAATTTGAACGAAAAAAAATAATTCAATTTAGTGGATATAATTTAAAATTATTAATTTCTTTTGTCGCTGCTCTTGCACTCAGTCTTTTTTCCCACAGTGTACTTAAAATCGTCAATCTGTTTATATTACTAATGGGCAATCAATTTTTCCAATCATTTCCCTACTAAACAGTAGTCACTTTGGTTACTGTACATTAGTTTACTATTTAAAATCTCATCAGAAATTTAACTTATACAGTTTACAGAAGAGTTGGTCACTATTGCATGAAAAATGTTTTACAATTGGTCAACCGTCAAAATACTCGCTCTTTTCATAGCATGATTTTTTAATTATACGTTATTAATAAAAATGTTAAATATTTACCATTTTAATGTGGGTATTCTAAAAGAAAAATGGTCCTAACATTTCCATAATAATCACAAAGATGAAAGAATGTCTTGATACTTGACGAAAAGTATTTTAGGGATTATTTGCAATTATCACTCAAATAAGAAACTAAGTCCTTAGAGAGTAAAACTATTATCATTGTATTTAATTCAGGTTTGTATTCGCATGAAAACGTATACTCACATATTCACACGCCCCCTTTTCTTTTTAGGTTATCATTAGTCTGTGCACTTCTCTATACGTTATCTTACTGCTGTTCATTCCGGGAAGATACATTTCATTCTCAAGCGTTCACTTTGCCATAAGTAAATTTGCCAACGGATTGAATCTATCACACAAGTTTGTATAATAGCTGACAAATTTGTTCTTAGCTACTACTGAAGTTGGAAAAAAGATCCAGCCTATGCATTTCATATTAAGTCTCTTTAAGATTTTGTTTTAAATCAGCGTCTCGACATTACATATTGTTATAAAATACATGAAAAGATAGAAGAAAGTTATAGCAGCGGGAAGGAATGTGCAACTAGGTAATTTTATATTTAAGTGTTCAAGGTGTTAAAAAGAATTAATATGGAAATTGAAAGTCTTATGTGCAAAGTAGACCTCCAAGAAATGATCCCATATGCAAAAAGAAAAGAAGAAAAAAACAGTTCAAAATGCCACAAATATCAAACACCTTGACACTAAGTATGTTGTATGAAACCAGAAACACAGAAAACTTTGGCAACACGTTGATGAAATAGATGAATATAGTGAATGCACTGAAACAAAACAAAACAATTTTAAGAATGACAAATGAAATATTCACAAATCTGGACGATAAAGATACACTTGTTATTTCTCTGTGTATGTGTGTGTATGTGTGTGTGTGTGTGTGTGCGCGCGCACGCGCGTGCGCGATTTTTTAGCCGATTGTTGCAGAACGTGCAAAGAAGCCTTTGAAATCATTTTTATTTTGTTTTTTTCTTTAATGAGACTTTTCACTTCTCTTTGTAAATAATTTCATTTTCTTCCGCGCGTGATTCATTGCCTATTATTTAATCTTAAAACAGAACTTTTCTTGCCATATGGGTTTTGATATGTCTGATTTCATAATCGTGCTTCGGATTATTTATTTTTGATGCTCCTTAAAATTACTCTAATTTTCTCTAATATATTTCATCACAGCTGCATGTAATGTTGTACATACTATTCTTGCCACAGGTTTTTATGAACACAGTTAAGAACACATAATTGGCAGAAGTGTTGACGAACAAATATAACGTCTTTCCTTGTTTATATATTTTTTGCATTTTTAGTTTTTCTATTTTCTTAACAAGACAACAGACAAAAGATTGAACTAAAAAAAATTAAAACCTGAGGTAACGAATAACAAAACAAATCATATTACTCTTTTAACATTTATTATTTTTGTACAGACATATCAGCATCCACCCTCCATGAAGTCGATAGCAAAAAGTTAAACTGATTGCGAGAACGAATGGGGTCCTACGAATACAATTCTGTCACTCCAAGTCCCTATACTCGAAGCATCCAGCTAACTACACGAGACAAACTAAAATAGATTCCAGACGATTCTCTTCAGCGACAATTGGCCTGTAGTACACATAAAACAGAGACTTTATTATGCTTTAAGAAAATATTTCAATCAGATGTGTGTTAATAACGCCTATAATTCTAGAGACTGAATTAATGATCGGAATAAACTGTTTATATTATAAATACACGAACACACGCCTTGCTAATCATTGTATCGATAAACTAAACACCTTATAGGTATATAAGATTATGTTTTGAAATATCAACATGCCCACAAATTGGACAGTTTCTCGATTTAAAAGGAGGTTAAATTTTCCATCGGATGGGAGTATCCTAAGAAGTCGATTTAATGTTTATAAATATAAATATTAAATGTTATTCAAAAAATGGTACTGAAAATTCCAACGTCCTGTATGTTTACATGCTAGATGGGCGTAGGACTTTCAATGTAAATGTTGCGTCATTTTACTACCTATAGTTTATACTACTTTCTTAAGTTCGAAATTTCAAAGTAACCAGCTGGGTTTGCTACAAAACAGTGTAAATCTAATAGGAAGGTTATTAACCAATAAAATTTATGAGAACATGTAAATACGACATATCGAAATCAGATGCATTCCGCTTATCGAGTTAATATTTTGCTTATCTATGCCATTTAATCGCAACAAAAGTATTTTCATGTTTAGAGATTTTACTCCAAAACTT